TTAGACTGTATGGGAGGGTACACCAATTTATTAATTCATATAAAATGTTTCTTAATTGCTACTCCTATTTTAAAAATGCAAACTGAGAAATAAACAGGCTGCAACCTTAAAAGCCTTTTTCTGGTACATCAAATACTCTCCTCCTTATTTTGAAGTTATTCATTTGGAATAGCTACATCCTGTAGATTTCCAAAGGAGTAACTGGCCAGTTTTCTGTTTCAGAATAATTCAGGCCTTCTAAATCTAGGTGCCACTGAGAAGGTGTTCCTCAGGGAGAAGGCACTGTGCACAAAAGATGTTTTTGAAGGAGGCTCTAAGATGGAAAGGCCTTTGAGCATGTGCAGAGTGCATTCTCACAGGAAGCAGATTTCTAAAAATTTGTGTGTATGGCCACAGTGCAGTGGATCCTGTGTCTATTTTATCAGTCCATTGAGCAAAGTTTGAAACCTTCCTCCACCTTAATTGGCTCTTTTTTTTGGAGGAAGAGCTTCTCAAGTTGGAGGAATGCTCATTGGTGGATGGTTGGATCTTTCCCAGTGCCACTAGGCATGTGCAAAATGCTCTCTGCCAGGATATCCCCCCCCCAGGTCAATAAGAACAAATATGTCAGGCATGTAACAAGCAAAGCATTCCAGCTGGTTAAGCTTGAACATGAATGTTCAAGTTAGGCATCGAAGAAAGGAACTGACTGAGCAAATTCTTGGTAGCTATGTGAAGAAACAGCGAAGTTTAACCTCCGTATCCAGCACAATATAAAATGGAGGACAGCTTTAGACCTTCCACAATTGCATTTTAAAGGATGATTTTTTGCTTTTAATTATATGCCAACACAGGTGCCAAGATACTAAGTACAAAAACACAGTTGCTTGAGAAAGGTATGTAAAGGGTGGTCCAATTTTGTTTTTTTTCTTAGTCAAAAACTACGAGACATAGAAAGTTGTTATTATTACAGGCTCCTGCTTTTCTGTGGCTTATAGCAGGGATAAGGCAAGCAGTGGCTAGGGAAGCTGTTCACTTTCAACTATACAAATAACCTCATCTCAGGGTCTTGAACTTATTTGCAGCTTGAATTTATTTTATTTATTATTTATTATATTTATACCCTGCCCATCCTGCGAACAGGCTCAGGGCGGCTAACAAAGC